TGAAAGAGGCCATCCATTATGGGCTCTGAGTGACACTGCATATTTCTGGGTATGCCATGAATACAAGGACCTGACCTATCTTTACCCAGTCCATGTCTCTGGCTTGTATTTACACTGAACAACCTTGAGGCATGAGGTAACAACTCCCCCTGGACAAAGAACAGGATTGTTTCTGTTGACTATAAAAGCAGTGGAAGTCCCATATTCAGTGTTCCTTTTCTATAACACAACCCACTGTGTGTGGGTTCCATCACTGTGTGTGTGCTGGCTTCCATCACTGATACAAACCAACAGGAAGCCCTGGCTACCACTTTTGCTTGTGAATAATAAAAGTGCTTTGTCTCTGGCCCAGGTGTCTCATGTATCCTGTAGCATCCCATGAAATAGTAACAGGCTCACCTGTTAGCCCGTAAGTCTGGTGAAATCTCAGACCCTGCAGTTGTTGACAGACATCAGTAATTTTCTTCTTGGTAATAGCTGGCATTTTAGGCACTATGACTTGGCTACTAGGAAATTTATTATTAGCAAGATACATTATAAAATATTATTTTCCAAAGACTTAGCCAATAACACTACAAAAATAAAAAGCCCTCTGTTTCCTGTGAATTTATCTGTGTGTGTCCAAGTCCAGTAATAATTTCACTGTCTGTCTGAAGTACCAAAAGCACTAAATCCAAAGCTCGGCGCCACGCCTCAGTCTTTGGTGTAACAATGTCATAAACACTTGGAATCTGTTCCAGTTTATTTGAAATGCCTGAATTAAAAATTCCACTATTTAGTTTACTGTATTCATTCAAGATGTAAGATGAAGGAGAGCCAGAGTCTGTGGCACTTTGTAGATGTTGTTGAATGACTGTGCTGGCTCCCAATTCTGATGAGCAATTGGCAGTGTTATACATGAGAGCTGAAAGGTATTTGTGCCATCCATTTGCCAGGCATTTCAGCACAGTTGATCTGTATAGTGCCAGAGATGAGGCCAGCCAAGAGGAAGTATTATGAAGCCATCCTGAACGGACGTGGTTTCTTTTACTCAGTGATTGCTCTGCAAGAATTTGAAGATGGCTAAGACACAAAAATTCAACTGCGCCACCTCCAAGAAAGACCTTTTGCTCTCTTAGAGCATAATACAGACGATAGGCACAAGTCCAGAACCTGTCTTCTCTGGCTTGCATCTGTGCAGGGAGTGGGCTAGTGAGCACTACTGTAACCAAATTAATTCCTTCTGTTTTTATCATGATTGTCAGTATGTTGATCCTATCTATGACATCTAAGGGAATACTTCTCCAGAAGGTCACACAGACCCCACTGCCCACACAGTTTTCATTCACTTGTGTAATGTAGGCCACCTGTACTGCTCCTGAAGCTTCCGCGAAAGCCTGCATCACACTGCTGTTCACTGAGCCAATTACCAACCGCTTACTGTGCATGCACTTTTCAATTAAGTCTTCAGACACATTTCCTTGTACCAGGACAAGGTTCACATTGAACTTGATTAATACCTGTAATACATAATCTGTCCATTGTTCTTCTGAGCTGTCTTGTTGAACCTTCATGCTTTCTAATAGCGTGTTAATATTTGCAGCCTTATTAAATCCCAGGTGGCGATAATTCTCTGTGAGGTCACCCTCAATGAGAATAATCTGGACAGGCTGATTCTGCAATTCCTTGATCAGAGTAGTATTAGATATTGATACAACAGTGATATATCCTGGGCAGACACAAGAAAAAGTTTCAGGTACACCGGGTAAACAGCAAGTGAAGATTCTTGAAATGTCGAACATAAATGGTATTGTACAGTTGCCTTGTTGCGTACTTGCATTCTGAAATTGTAGTCGAACTGCTGCATCTACTAATTTCATGCTGTTGTGATCTCCATGACTCAAACCCATCTCCAACTCTACCAAATCATTACATCTGTAAGTACGGGGAGTAGCTGCACCATGTTGTTCTAGAAATCCCTCTGGTTTGTTTATCCACCGATTACTATCTGTCCTATTAAAATGCCTACTGTGGATTAGTATTGACTTTCTACAGCGGCTGTCGGCGAGCAGACTCTTTTTCAGAGTTTGAGGATTCTGTAATGTGTTTTTATTTGCTTCATCTTCAGCCTGAGGTCTAAAGAGTTTAGGTGATCTAACAGGTATCCCAGAAAGGTTGTAAATGGTCAATGATGGAGAGGCAACATCCTTGAGATCATGCGCCTTCTGTAAACCAGTATCTGAAGGGATCTGTAGAAAAGGACACAAACTGACACCATATGTTTCAAGTCCAGAAAATGTCTTTGTGCTGTCTATATGGTCAAATATATTGTGGATAGGTACTTGAAGGGAAACTACCTCTTCAATGCAAGAGTTCAAGCCTTCTGACATTACAGACACTATTAATGAAATGGGGACACCCAAATGAAGACATTCTTCAGCGGCACTGCTCCATGCACCGACAAGAAACAAAAGGGTACTGGTTCCAGTTTTATAGGTATTATTTTGTGTTTGAACTGCTTCATTGAGAAGTTGTCCCACTGCACTGGTTAAATCCAAACTTTCAAGAAGTCTTACTACTGAACTGATTAATATACTTTCATGACGCTCTTCATCAACAATAAATTTAGATGATTTTACTGGGCCTAGGAAGGTTCTTCCTGTTCCTGAAAATGATGAAAGTTGCTGAAGTCCCACATGCCTTCTTTTATTTATGACCCTGCAAGCCATCACCATGAATCATCATCTGCAAATAAAATAAAAACTTGGAACTTTATTCAGTGTACTTCATGGTTATAATTGCTCATAAAAGAAAAATCCGATATAGTCCCTGCCTTTGAGGAGTTTCTGATATATATATTTTCCATTAAATATGGTCAGTGCAATGTTACTATATTATAATGATATTGCGATAAAGGTATGGGCATGTGGGTAAGAAACACTTCATTCAATCATGCAGGTAATAATCCTGGTAGTGTTTCCAGAAGAAGCAATGGCTGAAATGAGTCTTGAAGAACAATCCAAAAGAGCAAATTGAAGGAGGTGGTAGTAAATGCACATGTATGTGAAAAAAACAGTGTATCTGGGTGATACAAGCTTAGTTTCACAGGAATATAAAGAAAGTAGTGAGAAATGGGATATGAAGCTCTAGAAGAGAAATAGGTTGGAGCATGAAGGGCATCATGTGCCATGTCAAACCCGACCCAATAATGGGAATCAATCACTGAAGTGTTTTAAGTAAGGAAGATTAATAAACAGTTTGATGTAGAGTTTGCAAGCCTGTGCTCTCAATCTAGAAGTCTGGGCTTGAACTTGGCTCTAATGCTTACCAGCTGTGTAGACTTCATCAAATGATTTAACTACTCTATCCTGCTTTTGCATCTGGAAACTGAGGAAAATAGCACAATCTACTTCTTAGGGTTATTATAAGGAGTAAACGAGTACAGTGTTTACAACAGTGCCTGGCACATAATCCCTTCTGAGTACCACCGCTACTACTACTAGTGTTTTGGAAATAGCACCACTCTGATAACAGCACAGAGAATGAACTGGATGGGTGCCTGACTGGAGGCAGAGAGGCCAGCTAAGAATCATCTACAGTTATCTAGATAAGGAATGTGGAAGAGGGATTCAGGTGAGAAGATGGACTTGGTTATTGGTTAGAATGTAATGGGGAAAAATACTACTTAAAGAGAAGTTCAAGAGCTATTAGGCTTTTTCCACATAATATTTCAAAATCTACATCTAAGACTAGTAAGAACTTACAAGAGAAAAACTTTCTCCCAGTAAAAAGAATCTTTTAACAAATACCCCCAATTGAAAAGCTGTCTATAATAAAATGACCTGTCTTATGAAATATGAGCTGTCAGTTAAAGCACTAGAACTGAAATTGTAAATAATATAAACTTCTCTTCTAATTCTAAGACTTTGTAATTCTTTGAGTGATATTTTTTATCTCAATCCTTTAAATCCAAAATACCTAAAAGAAAACAATTCAGAGTTTTCCTTTTCATCTGATAAATTTGTTTCTTTCTTTTCTCTTTTCTTCAGAAGCTTTTTAAAATGATGTATGGCAATTAGGGTGATTTATTTATTTAATTATTCTTTTTTTTAACGCTTATTCATTTTTGAAAGAGAGAGAGCGCAAGCAGGGTAGGGCAGGAAGAGAGGGAGACACAGAATCTGAAGCAGGCTCCACGCTCTGAGCTGTCAGCACAGAGCCTGATGCAGGGCTCGAAGCCAAAACTGCGAGATCATGATCTGAGCCAAAGTCAGACACTTAACCAGTTGAGCCACCCAGGCGCCTTGGCAATTAGGATGACTTAAATTTTGTTTTTTCATGTTTATTTATTTTTGAGAGAGAGAGAGACAGAGTGCAAGCAGGGGATGGGAGACACAGAATTCGAAGCAGGTTCCAGGCTCTGAGCTGTCAGCAAGAGCCCTACATGGGGCTTGAATTCACAAGCCATGAGATCATGACTTGAGCTGAAGTTGGACGCTTAACTGACTGGGCCACCCAGGTGCCCCAGATAAATTTGTTTCTAGAATACCTAGATTCATCCTTGAAGCTGAGGAACACTACCATTTGAGATACCTTAAGATCAGGAGGAAGCCATAACACAACTATTCCTCAAGACTAGCTTCCTATAAGCTTTCAAGGACTAGAGAAAAGTGAGCACAGCCTAGGAAAATGTTCAATGAGTTGTCTGAAATCAGGTACAAATGCTCTTTTGTGAAAATTTCAATTCTGTAAAATAAAAATAAAACTCTTGATACACTCAGACATATCCCTAGACAGCATAAAAATATATTATAGGACTCTAATACTCTAATCCTGAGACCCATGATATCTTACAATTATCTAATCTTAGCATGTTTTTGCTGTCCTTTACCCCTCACCCCCATATTATCAATTCTCGACTTACTCAGTTTAAATTCTAAATTCCTATTTGTCAATTACAATCACTCCCTTGCACATATACCCTCAAAATCCTTATCCCTCTTTAGGTTCATCCTACTCACCTTGCAAAGTCACAAAGCCTGATGAAATCCAACTCTCTTGTCTACTCCATGCTTACCCTGGTACAGCTGAAATAAACAGAAAAACACACACAACCATACTGGTGTCATTTCAAACCTCAAGTGGCCCTTAGTATTGCCTGAAAATCTACTTCCCTAGTTCACTTATCTTTTTATAAAAGATTATCATTTACTGGGTTCTATTTTTAAAAGTTTTGCCTACCCTTGACTACAAAAGATATTCTTCTATACTTCTTCTAAAAATGTTATGGTTTTAATCTTTTTTTTTTTAAATGAGGTGAACACATAACATAAACCATTTTAAAATGTACAATTCAGTGGCACTTAGTACACTCACAGTGTTGTACAATCACTACCTTTATCTAGTTCTAAAACATTTCCCTCACCCCAAAAGAAAACCCTTAAAGCCATTAAACATTCTCTTCCTGTTCTCTCCTCCAGCCTCTAGCAACCAATCTGCTTTATGTCTCTATGGATTTACCTATTCTAGATATTTCATGTAAATAGAATCACACAATACTCTTTCACTGAGCATAATGTTTTTGAGGTTTATCCACACTGTATTATGTATCAGTACTTCATTCCCTTTAGGGCTGAGTAATATTCTATTGCATGTATATATCATCTTGTTTATTTATCTGCTGATAAATATTTGAATTGTTTCTACCTTTTGACTATTGTGAATTTGTGCTGTTATCAACATTTGTGTACAAGTGTTTGAATATCTGTTTTCAATTACTTTGGGTATACACCTAGGAGTGGTCACATGGTAATTTTATGTTTAACCTTCTGAGGAACCACCAAACTGTCTTCTATAGCAGCTTAACCATTTTACTTTCTCACCAGCAAGAAATTTCTCCACATCCCTGCTGTATTGATTTCCTAGGGCACCTACACTAAATTACCAAAAACAGGGTGGCTTAAAACAATACATTTTTATTCTCTCATGGTTCTGGAGTCCAGAAGAAATCAAGGTGTCTGCAGGGCCATGATCCTTCTGAAGGCTCTCGAGAAATCTCTTCCAGCTTCGAGTTGCCTCCTGGAGGTCCGTGGCTTTTGGTAACAAAACTTGAATATCTGCTTCTCTTTCACATGGCTTTCTTAAAAAGACACAAGTCATTGTATTTAGGGTCCACCCTAATCTACTATGACCTCATCTTAACTAACAAGTTCTATAAAGACCCCATTTCTAAATAAAATCACATTCTGAGATTCTGGGTAGACATAAATTTTGAAGGAACACCATTCAACCCAGTATGCTTACCAATACAAATCTTCCTTTTTTTTTTGTTTTGTTATTGTTTTTAAATAGACATCTTAGTGGATATGAAGCGATATTTCATTGTGATATTGACTTGCATTTCTCTAATGATGTTGAGCATCTTTTCATTTACCAGTTGGCCATTTACATTTTTTCTTCGGAGAAATATTTATTCAAATCTTTTGCCCGTTTTAAAATTGGGCTCTCTTTTGTTGTTGAATTGTAAGAGTTCTTTATATATTCTGGAAATTAGAACCTTATCAGAATACAACTTACAGACATTTTCTCTCTGTATGTTGTATTTTCTACTTTTTTGATAAGGTACTTTGATGCATAAAAGTTTTCCATTTTAATGAAGCCTAATTTGTCTATTTTTTTCTTTGTTGCTCATGCTCTTGGTGTCATATTTAAGAAATACTGCCAAATCCAAAGTCACAAAGATCTGACCCAGTGTTTTCCTCAAAGAATTTTATAGTTTTATGTCTTATATTATGTTAATTGATACATCTGATTTTTCTATATGGGGTGAAGTAGGGGACCAACTTCATTCTTTTGCACTGGATGTCAAATTGTCCCAGCACCATTTATTGAAAGACTATTCTTTCACCATTGAGTGGTTTTGGCATCTTTGTCAAAAATCAATTGGCAATAGACTTTTGGGTTTATTTGTGGACTTTCAATCCTATCTCATTGGTCTATATGTCCATCCTTATGCCAGGACCACACTTTTTTGATTATTATAGCTTTGTGGCAAGTTTTGAAGCAAAGGAGTGTGAAACTCCAACTCTGCTTTTTATTTTAGCTTTTACATTTATGTTTGCAATTCATCTTAAACTGATTTTTTGTAAATGGTGTGAGGTAGGGGTCATTTTGTTCCTTCCTGGATATCCAGTTGCTCTAGAATAATTTGTTGAAAAGACAAGCTTAAAATGACTGGCTTTTTGCTTGTTTCTAATTTCTAACATGTTTTGAGAGCTTATTAAGTATGAGGTACTTTACATGCACTATGTAATATAGTTCTCACAATATAATGAGGTGCAAAAAGCCTATGAAAATGAAAAATTGTTAAGTAACTTACAAAATCTCACAGCTAGTAAGTAATAGGTTATGAACTAAAACCCAGATTTGTCTAAAACCAAAGTCCCATGTTATTAACTACCATACAATACTACCTTCTGGCTGCCCCTCTACCCAACATGATAGCAATTCACCTCTCTTCTGTAGAATCTTCCATTGCATTTCCCACTTCCAAACCTTATTGCCTTCTTCTAAATTTTTTTTTAACGTTTATTTATTTTTGAGAGAGAGAGAGACAGAGACAAAGCATGAGCAGGGGAGGGGCAGAGAGAGAGGGAGACACAGAATCTGAAGCAGGCTCCAGGCTTTGAGCTGTCAGCACAGAGCCCGATGTGGGGCTTGAACTCACAAACCGTGAGATCATGACCTGAGCCAAAGTCGGATGCTCAACTGACTGAGCCACCCAGGCGCCCCTTATTGCCTTCTTCTAAACCTGTTCATACCCTTAATATGGCTATGCCCTTTCTTCTCTAAGCATCAGAGTCTCTGTTATGGTTTCCTCTCTATAAATTTTTTTAACAATCCGCCTTTTTTTTTTTTCTTAAATATTTATTTATTTTTGAGAGTGAGAGAGAAAGCATGAGCAGGGGAGGGGCAGAGAGAGAGTGGGGCAGAGGATCTGAAGCAGGCTCTGCACTGACAGCAGAGGGCCTGATATGGGGCTTGAACTCCCGACCCTTGAGATCATGACCTGAGCTGAAGTAGGCTGCTTAACCAACTGAGCCACTCAGGTGCCCCCTCTATACTATGTCTAAATCACAAGATATTACTATATGAATGGAAAAGTTACAGAGAATTTAGAACAAAAGGAAAAAAGCCATGGGCTATTTCAAACCTACTCAAGTTTTCAAAGTCTGTATTTAATTTATGTGAAAAAGGTTTTCCCAGAGAAGACACGAAATTACTAAAACTAATCTACAGACAAAAAGTTACATAAAACTGATGTAAAAAATATTCAATTATTTCAACTTATCTAAAAAATATTCAATTATTTCACTTATATGTAAAATCAAAAAAAAAAAAAAAACCCACAAAGCAGAAACTGATCCATAAATACAGAGAACAAACTGGTGGTTGCTGGAGGGAAGGGAATGGTTAAAGAGGGGTGAAGAGGAGTGGGAGGTACAGGTTCCCAATTATAGAAGGAATAAGTCACAGGGATGAAAGTACAACATAAAGAATATAGTCAATGGTATTGTAATAGTGTTGTATGGCAACAGATGGTAGCTCCACTTGTGATAAGCATAGCATAACATACAGAGCTGTGGAATCACTATGTTGTACACCTGAAACTAATGTAACACTGTGTGTCAATTCTACTCAATAAAATATGAATAAACAAATAAATAAATATTCAAGAGAAATGCTGTTTCAGCATTTGAAGACTATTCTGTTTCAGCAGCAATTAAAAAAAAAAAAAAGCCAGTCTTATCATTCCTAAGGTTAGAAAAGCTCCTACGTAATTATTTTAGAGAGATTAGTTAATTAGCATAAAATAAAAATCCTTCATCTTCTAAAAAATGGAGTATAAAAAGGCAAAGACAGTGAAGCGGATGGTGAAATACATAATTCCAAAGATAAAAACACCTCTGGTAACTATTCTTGGCATTGAATTGACACACTCTGATTCTTGTTCTGAGGTACATCAGCACCAGTGTTTTCCACAAACAGCTGTTTTATTATTGAGATCCTTAACAACTTTACTTGTCAGCTTAATGTTTCTTGAACATTTTAAAGCTGTAATAGAAGCATTCATACTACTTCACTGGGTTTTGACATCAGAAGCAGCTTTCTTTTCCTCTTATCATGTCTAGTCCTGTATACGGAATTTGTTTTAGAATACTAAGACATGCAATGCTTTTTAGGAGTTGAATTTTTAAAAATACTATTATTTTATGACAGGTATGATTAGCTTTTGTCATCATCAAAATCAACAGATTGCATATCTCATCTATTCCTAATATAGCAGTCTAATCATATGATTCCATTACTTAAAAAACCTTCAACTTCGAACATAAAGGCCTTTGCTCCTTTGTCTCACACAGGACTCCTTTTAAACACTTAACTCAGATCCTTTCACTTCTCTGCTCAAAACCTGCAATGTCTTCCCATTTCACCAGGAATGAAAATTAAGGTCTTTAAAGCCCTAATAATCTGCACCCCTTCTTCTTACCCCTCTTTGTTTCCTATTACACTATCCCTTGAGCACTTGGCTGTGGCCTCCTTTCTGTTCCTGGAACATGCAAGGCATGCTCCTTAACTTATAATTTCTGTTCTAGTTGCTACCACTTTCTGGGATGCTCTTCCCTGGGAAATCTATTGCCTTGCCACCTCTAAGTATTTACTCAAATTTCCCCTTTTAAACGAGGCCCACGCTTGGGCACCCTATTTAACACCACAAGCTCTTCCTTTCTAAGTGTAGAATTCCCTTTAACTGTTTGGATGAACTTTAACTACTTGGATTCCTATTAACTGCTCTACTTCCTTTTTTTCCATAACATTTATCACCTTATAAAATAGTACACAGTTTACATATCTATTATTATTTCTCAGCTATCTCCCTCTGTTGAAATCTAATTCCCAGGAGGATAATTTTAGTCACTGAGGTATCCCACATAACAAAAATATTGTCTGACATACTGCACTCAAGAAGTATCTGGTGAGCAAATGAAGAAATGGCTTTCACCATATTTGCTAAATTTTAACTTTTAAGTACAAAACTGAAAAGATTAAACAGATGGTGCTGTCAGTATTCCCCCACCACAAATTTAAGTTTCAATCACCTTTAGAGTTGATGTGATTCCTATATGGCACTGTCTTAGTTGAGATCCCATAATTCCAAAACGGTACCTCCTTCACATGGTTGTCAGAATTATCTTTGAAAAGCACAAACCTAATCAAAGCACTCCATTGCCTAAAAACATCTGTTTATCTTATAAAACAAAATCTTTACTCCCTGGCTTGACATAGGTGTCCCATAATTGGACCTCAATGTAATTTATGACTCATTTTCCACCCTTCCATATAAACCCTATGATCTTGCCACACGAGAAGACACATTTATTTTCATTTTTACACATGCTATATTCAGATTTGAATATCCTACCCTTTCTTCACTTTGGCAAATGCTGTGTATCTTTCATGACCCAAGGCAAATGCCACATTTTGAATATAACCTTCTCCAATGCACCAGGAAGGAACAGTGCCTCTTTCCTGTGCTCAAGCACTTTCTACACACACCTACTGAAGCACTTAGCACCCTGAATTTCAAATTCTGTATTTGTGTCTGTGCCTTTCTCCCCGACTAATCTGTGGGTTGCTTTTATTCTTCTTTATACTCTACATTCAGTTCCTTTCAAACTCACCCAATAGTTGGCACAGTACATGTGGAAAGTATTAAATAATTATAGATTTACTTAAGAGTGCCAATGGATTTAATATTTTCTTAGATTAATTATTATTACCATTATTGTTGTATAATACAATTACATTAATAACAGCTATTTTTCAAGACTAAGTACTTCCTACCCAAGACCTAGAAATTGTAATCTGAGCCTATAATTAAAAAATCATTTTCACTAGAAGTTAATTTCCCAAATATAAGAACCTAAATCATAAAGTGATATAAAAGCAGGTTAATATATTACTTCAGCCTTTTAATTGCCATGAGATCAAACTTTATCTAGGTTAGAACCTGGTTCTATATGTTTGGTCACTATTTATTTCTGGGTCTCAGAAATCCTGAAAATATTAGTAGAAAAGATGCAGTAAATGTCCTTGAAAGTGATCAAAAGGAATTTTCCCAGTGAGACCAATGGCCTGAAAAATCAATACACAGTTAACCCTTAAACACTGAGAGTTAGGGGCCCCAACCAATCAGTGCACAACCGGAAATCCAAATATAACTCTTAACTCACCTGAAACTTAACTACCAATAGCCTACTGTTGTTTGGAAGCCTTACCAATAACATAAGCAGTTGATTAACACATATTTTATGTCATATGTATTATATACTATGTTTTTATAATAATACCTTTTTCTTAAAATTTTCAACATCTCTAGGCTATGAGGTTCAACCGGGAGTCTTTTCAAATCGTGGCAAATCTCCAAAAAAATATCTATGTGTAAGTGGGCCCACACAGTTCAAATCCATGTTGTTCAAGAGACAGCTGTATTATAAGTGAATGAATATTTTTACTTAGTTCACAAAATATCTTGAACTTGCATCATTTTAATTTCCACAGGGACAACTTAATACAGAAAAAAAAAAAAAACAACTTCTCATATTAGAATAACCTTACCTATTTTCCAGAATCCTAATGAGCTGTTTATCTATGGTTACAAAGCTTGGATGTCTGACTAGGATATAATGTGAACCAGACAGGATGATGGTTTTAGAAAATGTGCCATGTTTCTATTTACTACAGTATGAACAGTGATTTGGGAGACTGCTTCAAGAATGTACTTTGCACATTTTTCTTGCCCTAACTTCAAGGAGTAAGTGGGATAAAGGGAAAAAAATCTAGGCAAAAGTTAATGTTCCTTCTGAATCCACTCACTGCTGGAGAAGCCTGTATGATTTTTGTTAAATAAAGTACTTACTCTGCAGAAGGTACTGCAGAAGGCATAAAAAGAATCCTGATGTGTAAGCTATTAGGGTTAGAAATTTTAAAGGGCTATCATCACTTCATTCCTACCAGGAAGTCAGAGGTCCACCTCATTCTTTCCCACCCTTAAGCTGGTCCCTAACCAGATTCATGATTGGGCAAACCAGCAAGTCTGGCTCTCTGGGCAAAAATTTGCTTTCATTTACAGCAGTTACGGACTTCTAAATCCTGAGTCTATTGGATTATCAGACTACTTGTGTCTGACTGACTCATGAGTATGGATCTATGCTGGATATGGCTGGAAAACCGGTCAAATCTTGGGATTCAAACCATTGGAATGGCTGGGGATGAGGTGGGGGATGGGGGGCGGTGTCTGTCTGACAGTAATATGGGTGGGGCCAAAGTCCTGCTCGGCGAATAAATACTACAACACAGGTAAAAACCCTTTCCTATGCAGTGAGGCTTGATACATCACAACACCTTATCCGGCTTCCTTCCAATCGCCATCCCCACTTCTTTCCAGTCATACCCCTACCGCGCCAGAATCTCTCCGAACCAGAGGGAAATGTTAAAGGCCAATCCCCGGGCACTGTGGAAGGTGAGAAATATCGAGGGGCGCATGGAAAAGGCAGTCCCCTCCACCTCTGGTAATCCCAGTCGGATGGTAAACCAAAACTGGACCAAATTTACCCGGGCCGCCAAGCCCTAGATTCTCAATCATAACCCCGGGCACGAAGAGGTCAAAAAAGCAAATAAGGCTGCACTGAAGACTTAGCAGTCAGTGGAAGCACCTCGTTACTAACCTCGCTCTTTTCTCCATCTTCACCCGAGGCTCCAGTTCCCAGCTTCCCACCGCCAGACGCGGTCCTGACCGGCCCTTGGACGCCAGAGCGCCGGGACGAAGACGCCCCCTTCCCCGCCGGCGTTTTGCGCATGCGCGAAGCGGGGCGAGAGGGCCGGCTGGGCGGGGCTGGTCGCTAAGAAACCAGAGGAAAAGTTCTGCTTAAGGGTTGGCTGGGAAAGGCAGAGCGTTACTCTATTGGTAGAGATTAGGGAGAGGGGGCTGGCCTCAAGGGCCTTCTTTTCTGACTATTGGGTGGAACTACAGTCAATCAGTAGGCCTCGGTGGGCGGGGCTGCTTATGAGGCAGGCGAGAGCGGCCTTAGCAACGGTTTCTGAACTGTGAAGACAGCGGTTGGGCTGTGCTGCCGGCGGCTGAGATAGGGAGGTCCCGGCTGAGGGCACCGGTTGGTGACATGGTGAGTGTGAAGCTGTAACCGCTTGTTGGGCCAGGGCTGGTGCTGAAATCTCTCCCCGGAGCAGAGAAGGAATTGTTTTTGGTATGTGAAATATATTACTCGCCTCCTGATCCTCGAGTGTCGTTTAGTAACTCCTCCTCTCGTGGTCAAATAGAAGCACATTGCCGGTGGCTCTTAAGGACGCAAGAGCGGGTCTCCAGTTTATCCCCGCCAACTGCTAATACCAGCACTCCGCTGTAGGTTCTATGATGGAAATGAGACCACTGTTCGGCCAGAGAGGAATTGAATACAGAGAATAAGAAACTTAAAATCTGTTGGAGGGTCTAGGTCTCTAGGAAAGAGGTCCTGACCTCCGAAAAAGTGGCCGGGATAGCTACGAATTCTGCTACTGTTGGGAAGGTGAAGGTTGTGAAGGCTAAACTGTGGAGTTGAAGACCACACCAGTGGATTTGCGGTCCAGGGATCAAGAATCTGCGGCTACCACAACGAAACCACGCGAAACTGGAGACTAGGTGCGCAGGAACGTGGAGTCCAGTTGCCGTCTCTGCCGCCACGGCTTCCTAACCCAAAGATGGGGAGACAAGATATTGAAATAAGGCTGCAGAACAACCCAGGAGTAACTCTGTGACCTTGCTTGCCAGCAGAAAATGGCACACAGCAGGCAGATGACCTCCACTTTACCTGGATATTGATAATTGGCCTAACATTTATTCTTATCCAGATCGCTGGAGTAGTTTTTCACCTGGAAGATGTAGTTTTTTCATTTCTTAGCCTCTGCAATATAGGAAAGTACGCTAAAAGGTGGGAAAGGATATCATGTTTCAGTCAAGCATATCCCACAAAATAAATCTTATTATGAGATATATAGGCCTAGGTAAAAGGTATGCCTTAAACACTTTTTTTCAAATATACCAAGTAAGGCCAGTCCATTCTGACATAACATCTAATGTTCTACTAGGTTGAAGGAAAAACAAGTGGTAAAAAGAACCAAGCTTTCCACCAAGATATTAATAACTAATAGCATAAATGTTAGCAAAAGGAAAAGGTGGAAATTGTTGATGGTCATTATGTACTAGGGAATAGGGTTCTTGAACATGCTTATGTATTTATCAATTTTTCTGGTTCTGGTAACTTTTCCTGTTACGTAGTTTTTCACGCACATGTGTGTTTATTACAGGCATCCACAAGTTCAGACCAATGGAAGAAAAGAGCAGCAAAACTTGAATTGAATGAAACCCAAAAGCAAGAAATTAAAGAGGCCTTTGATTTATTTGATGTTGATGGGTCTGGAACCATAGATGTGAAAGAATTGAAGGTTTTGAAATTACTTCTAATTCTAAGACATTTTAAAAACAAATCTTTCAGTCTTTAACAGCAGCCTTCTAAAAGCTTGATATAAAGTCTCTTCATTGTGGACACCTACACCTTCAGTGTATGCACCTGCCCCATACTAACAAAATTATATCTTGTTAGGCATTTATTCTTGTTTTATGAATGAATACAACAAAAACTCTGGGTGTAACAGTAACATATCCTATGGCATAGTGGAATTGGAACCTAGGCCTGCTGACCTGACTTTCTAGGTTTATGCCTAGTCCGTAGTAAAAAAGAGAAAATCTAGTAATTATTAGGTAATTTAAAAGCTAGGAATGAGAACGTGGCATATTATTTATTTGTTTTCTATTTCAGATTGCATTGCAAGCCTTAGGATTTGAACCAAAGAAAGAAGAAATTAAAAAAATGATAGCTGAAATCGACAAAGAAGGAAATGGCACCATTAATTTTGAAGATTTTTTTGCCATAATGAGTGTAAAAATGGTATAGTAGTGATTTTGTTTTTCAAAGAAATACAAGCAATAGCCTTCTACTTTTTTTTTTTTTTTTTTTTTTTTTTTGGCTGGAGCAATCAATGAATTGGAACTAGGTCTTTAAAAATGGGTGGGATTTAGATAGACAGGAATAGCAAGATTAAAGATGTTTTCAGGGTAGTAATAAAGACTGTCCAGTGTGGAGAAGGTTGTTAGGAAATAATAAAGATAAATGGCTGGATAAAGAAAATGGGGTCAGCACGTTGAAGCCTTGAGTTCAGCAAACACCTCTTGAGTGCCTATTTTTGCTAGGCACTGTTCTAGAGAGCATTGGATGAGACAACCTCCCTGTTAGAGCTTACATTTTTTGGTAGTTGGTATCAATTACTGGAGTTAATAGAGATCCATTATCTTTATCACCCTTGCCTCTTCCACTTTAACAAATTCTGAATTTAAATACCCTGAGAGCAGATGTGAGTGCCTTGGAATAAAAAGTTAGAACAGTATGGGGCGCCTGGGTGGCGCAGTCGGTTAAGCGTCCCACTTCAGCCAGGTCACGATCTCGCGGTCCGTGAGTTCGAGCCCCGCGTCAGGCTCTGGGCTGATGGCTCAGAACCTGTTTCCGATTCTGTGTCTCCCTCTCTCTCTGCCCCTCCCCCGTTCATGCTCTGTCTCTCTCTGTCCCAAAAATAAATAAAAAACGTTGAAAAAAAAAATTAAAAAAAAAAGGTTAGAACAGTAAATGAACGCAGCTACTTGGCAGATTGCTGCTCTAGACCTCAAACACCCATAAGTCCAATTTGATAGAATAAATAAATGAAAGATTAGTGACAGTTGTTTCTGTTTTTAAAGAGTGAGAAAGAAGAAATATTGAAGGCTTTCAAATTATTTGATGATGATGATACTGGAAGCAGAACACTAAACAATATCAAGAGGGTTGCTAAGGAACTAGGGGAAAATTTAACAGATGATGAACTTCAGGTAAATTTTACTTATTTTTATAATTTTTATAACTTACATGTATATATACAATTGTAATTTATATATATTATATACAATTGTAATTTATA